TTTTTTTCCTTTGGCTATAGGGCACGTGCACTTGTCAGAAAGACAGAGAGAGACAGAGAGACAGAAAGCAAGAAATCACCACCCAGCGGGCGATGGCCACACCACAATCCCTTCTCCTCCATTCTCCTCTCTCAGGATCTTGGGCACTCACGCACACGCGCCTGGCATGAGTTTAAGCCACCGGGTCCGAGACTTGAACCGTGACAGACTACACGGGAGTCCAGAGACATAGCCATTACACTCACTGCTGGTCCCCCCCTGGGGTCATCTTAAAGCCATGCTCTTCTCATCCCAAGTCACAATGTTTAAAAGGAATGCAGTTCAGCAAGTCATCAATATCAAATTACCTCTCCTTGAAAGAACATAGAAATGGGACCCAGAAACTGTTTGGAAATCTCTCATATACATATAAATTTGTGGCTCCATTTAGGACCTATGTTGAAAGAAACATTTTTTTTTAATCTGCTCAATAAACAGAGAGAGGAATTAGTTGGACCTAAAAGAAGGAAAAGATCTAACAAACTCAAGTGGTCCCTGAGAGACTTTAAGAAAGAAAAATATTTACCTGGTTTTGGAGACATTCTAACTCCAGTTATATTCCCTTAAGATCCAGCGAAAATAATATAAGGTAATTATATTTGTACCGAGCAACCATAGTAATTATATATTTCTGGTGTCAACATGCTCACAAATTGAGCATCTTAATAGAAAAAAATTTTAAATTAGCAAATGGAATAAATCTACAATTCAAAAAACATGTACATACAGAGGCCAGCAGACGTCATAACGGGTACATCATTGGACTCACACATGCCTAATGGCAGTTCAAGTTCTGGACTCAGTGACTTAAAACTCACAGCAGACACATGCAGTTCAGTACCCAAAATTCCAAGAGGAGAATGGAGGAGAAGGGATTGCAGCATGGCCATCCCCCCCTAGGGGATGATTTTTCACTTTCCCTCCTACTGTTTCTGTCCCTCTCCAGGGAGTGCACACATTCTATGGCAAAAAGCTTTAAATTATTTATTTGTTTTATATGTATATATAAAAATATATACATAAAAGTATACACATAAATGCATATATATTATATATATAATATATAAACACACACAGAGAGAGCCATAATATTGTACATGTTTTACATGCAACAGTGGCAAACTTGTTTTTCCTTCATTCGTTTCAAATGTATCTGATCAATAGATTTTTGTACAGTCTGACAGCAGATGAGGAAGATCCCTTTTTTCACATTTTTGTGTGACATCTCTGCTTTCTAATTCTCAGGCTTTTGGGTTTGATCTATCTTTGGACAAACTGAATGTGTGAAAGTAAGTTGGGAATTTATCCAGTCGAATGATGCAGAAAAACTTTCTACGTGTGTAAAGCAGTGAAGGGGACCAACCACAACCAGGGGTTGATGTGGCTAAGCAAGACTGGTAAACTCTCCAATTTATTTCCTCCTAAATTCACTGATAATTACACAAAATAAATGACAAACATCAAAATTTATCATGTTTTGAAGAATACAATAATTAATTAATAAATAATATTAAGTAAATAACAATAAATAAAGAATAATAAATAAATAACAAGAAAGAAGGAAGGAAAAGAAAGAAGAAAAAAAAGGAAAGAAAGAAAGAAGAAAGAAAGAAAGAAAGAAAGAAAGAAAGAAAGAAAGAAAGAAAGAAAGAAAGAAAGAAAGAAAGAAAGAAAGAAAAAAGAGAGAGAAAGAAAGAAAGAAAAAGAGAGAGAGAAAGAGAAAGAAAGGCTGCATTGGCTCTCAGGTGACCTCAGGTATATGTCACAGCATCCATTCTCTCTTATCTTTTCCTGCAGTGCCCACTAAGCTCCTGGACTCACCTTGAGGGGTTTTCTTCAAAAAAGGTTTCTGGGGACCAGCAGGTGGTGTGGTGATTAAGACACTAGACTCCCATATGGTTGACCACAGTTCAAGTCCTGGACCTGGTGGCTTTCTCTCTCTCTCTCTCTCTCTCTCTCTCTCTCTCTCTCTCTCTCTCTCTCGTGAGTGCACATGCCCTGTCGCAAATTAAATAATGATAAATAAAATTAAATAATTTTTAAAAAAAGAAAAAGGTTTATTTTCACAAGAGCTAATTCCCCCCAGGATATCTGATGATGGAGACAAGAACCCTGACCCAAGTCAAAACAGCAGGAAAAGGTCAAGCATTGGTACCTGAGACAGAATTAAGTCTCCAAAGGAAGTAAACCTGCCCCATGCAGCCCAAGTTCACACTACTGAGGAGCAGCAGCAGTGGAGGAGGTATTTATAGCACCCCAGGTCTGCCCATTAGATACATTTCCCCTTGTTACTCCAACCCTGAGTACATCATTTCCCTGGGGGATATTGAGCTGCTCCAGAAGAAATTTTCTTCCTCCTTATTCTGTATTCTCAAGGTACCAGATTAAATATCATGGGAATCCAGTCTTTATTCCTCCTTCCCCATGAACTCACCTGCCTCCCAGAGATCTAACCTCCTAACACCTAATCCCAACCCTAAGTTAGTTTCCTCTAAAGTCTAAAACTGAGGCAGGCTGTCTTGACCAGGTTCCTCACATCTCCAAAGGCTTGGCTTATGGTAAGAACATCTCCCTTGATGTCTTCAGAAAATGCTAATCACTTCTTCAAAAAGGGGGAGAATTCTTCCCTTAATATAAAACCATGGGTTTATATATCCCTTGGCTTCATGATTATTATTATTTTTTTTTTTTTTGCTATAGAGCATGTGCACCTGCTGGAGACAAACAGGGAGACAGAGAGAGAGAGAGAAGGTGAGAAATCGACCTCTATAGGGGATAACCGTGCTGCAATTCCTTCTCTTTGTCTCCTTTCAGGATTTTGGGCATGCACACACAAGCACCCAGTCTGATTTTCAATCTGCCATGTCCAGGACTTTAACCACTAAGCCAGTCATGAGGGATCTAACAGCCTTAACCTCTGAGTCACCCTCTGGCTCAAGACTTCATGATGCTTTTGCTAATATATTTTTAAAATTTTGTACTTATAGAACTCAGCAGGTAGTATGGAGGTTAAAGTGTTAAATTCTCACATAGTTGACTGAGTTTCTAGTCCCAGACCTGGTGGTTTGCTCTCT